CAGTTCACCAGCCACTTACTATCATGTATTTCGTGAGAAGTGGATGAATTGACGTTATAAATCCAACAGATCCGATTCTCTGAACTGAAAACGAAACTAAAATGGCGCCGCCCGTTGTGCATACAGCTCAACTAACGCGATCGTTATAAAGATGTCTAAACAACAAAACCCATCCACTTGCACATATTTGACAATCGGAATATCAGTGTTTCATGATATAGCTAATACATTTTTGAATATTTTTAATAAAAAAGGAAAAATGACATAAAAGCAGATCGTCATTCATTCCGCGCTCTGTTCTGGTTGTGCTGTGTCACGTGACAAGCAATGACGCGTCACCATGGAAACATTAAAGTGGCAAGTTCTAAATAACGGTCGCCTTGAAAAACTCACGCTGGGGGGTCAGTTAGAATATTTTAAACTTACGTGTGAAAGGGTTAAATGAACACTGAAGCTGTGTTAAAGTTAATGAGACAATTAAGTGAATAATTGAGTGATGATTGAGCATTATTGAAGACACCTGATGATCACAAGCAGAATCACTGAAGGAGAAAATCACAAATTGTAAGTCACCGTTATGGAGATCAGTGTCTGCTTTAGTTGGGCTCTTGATCCTTATACTTTTACTTTGAACTTTGTTCCGCTGCTGTTATTGATTTATAACAGTCAAATGTACAAAGAAAACTGTGATCCGATAGTGTTGGTTATGTTTTGACATAATCAAGCTGTGATCGTAAAATTCCAAAAATTCGTAATTCTGATGGTTAGGATTAACTTGCTAGCAACAGTTTAGTGATTATACAGCATATTTGTAGTTTCTTATAACAGAAAATATTTAATAAAACTATTCTGATCAAATCACTTTAATCTTTATGTAGAAACAAATATCAATAATCAGCCTCTCTATCTCAATCGTGGTGACATTAATAGTCCTTGTTGCCCCAATCACAACTCATTAATGGCTCCCATCATGCATTGCGGTATGAATAAATTATGATCTGAATTGTCTATGTAATTTACTTTTCCTAATTGAATATTCTACTTGTCACCGTTGTTGAGAAGCATAGACTGAATCTTGAGGTCTGTGTGTGCCTTAAAGAAATATTTTTTTGTAAAAATACAACTTTTGAGAAATCCATTATATTATATTTAACATTCCGGATATTTATGCAGAATCTCAGTTATACACTAACCAACAGAATAAATCACAGACATAAATTTCAAATGATGAATGTCATTGTATGTCCATCATCATTTTAAAATTGTTTATCTTTGTTCATCTGGCAGGTATTACTCAGATGCAACAGCAAATTAAAATATAAAGTTAATAATAAAAGGGTCAAGAGCCCAACTAAAGCAAACACTCATCTCCATAACGGTGGCTTAAAATTTTAGATTTTTTTCCCTTGTGATTCTGCTTTAGGTGTCTTAAGCTCATTATTTATTCATGCTGCAATGCATGATGGGAGCCATGAATGAATTTTGATTGGTGGCACCCAGAATGCACCCAGAAAATGTTTTTGTTTATTGATTTAATCATTTGAATTTCATTGAAAAGGCTAAAATTGTATGTTTTACAAAAGCAGTGCTGGTATGAACCATAAGGTAAACTTAACAGTGGTTCATGCAGTTTGACTACAAACCAGAAGTTTGGTGGTTCAATCCACAGTTCCACCTTTTCTATGTGATCATCTGGCAGTTATAACTCATGTACAGCCAAACATAATATAAAGTTAATAATATAGGGGTCAAGAGCCCAACTAAAGAAGACACTGATCTCCATAACGGTGGCTTACAATTTGTGATTTTCTCCTTCAGTGATTCTGCTTGTTAACTTCAGGTGTCTTCAATAATGCTCAATCATCACTCAATTATTCACTTAATTGTCTCATTAACTTTAACACTCAGCTCAGAGTTTGATTGGATGGCTTAAAATGACTTCCATGATGTTGAAGTTACATGAACAAATTCTGTTTGTTTAACAAAACAAAGTTATGTGGAACCGGTGGAACCAGTTTACAAAAAAAAGTTAAGTAAAGCCAACACATCATTTTTTTGAGTGCATAGAACACACTTGAGACGCATTATCATCGCATTTCATCAGCTCTTTCATTGATCCGATCAAATTCTTCACTTTGTTTACTTTACTCTTGCGATCCCTTTGCAAGGCTTCAATCTTAGCCACCAACGCCTTTGTCGTGGGTTTATGCTCTCGTTTGCTGCCATCAACAACAGCGTTATCCATATCCTCTGAATTCATCATTCTCCAACGCGACGGACAATGCGAGCTCCGTTTCAAACCGCACGCTCACAGAGCCAAACAATGAATGAACGTAACCAGGCAGTAAGTCACACGAGAGCCCATAAGTACCAGAGCAACACAGAGCGCGTTCAACTCAACGCCAATCCAATGACTACAACAGCGTCTTCCACAACTTCCACTACGGCGATACAGCACAATCCATTGAAACCGCGAGCGTACCTCATTTGCCGTCTGTATGTGCGTCGTGTCCGTCAATCCAAACTCTGCAGTGCACGTCCGCCACTACATGCTGTATGCAGAAACAGCCGTTTCCAAGTTGCGTCCATAATCCATTGGTTGTGTAGTTTTCTGTTGACTTAACTGTAGCGGCAACCTATAGCCGCTGAGAGGCTAGGCAGCAGGAAATATCCGTGACGCGTTTTCTTGCATTGAATATTCAGTAGCTTTTATTGACATACACGCAGAAACAATGAAGAACATACATGCTAACGGTCAACAGAAAGTGAGCACTCCCCGCTACTCACCCCCTCTCCACACACCCCAAACAGGAAACACTATCAGGTATATACCCACCAATACCCATGTGACCGTCACACCTGGAAACGCACGTAAATTACAAAATAAAAGACAAAACATTTTCTACACTTACACAGAGTATGATAAAACACACATTAAGTGCACATACATTTTAGTCCAGATCAGTAAGCTATTTTAAGAAAACTGTATGATATACATTAGAAAATTAGATCGTCTCATTTATATATATATATATATATATATATATATATATATATATATATATATATATAACAACTTAAACCAAAATATACATTTAAACCATATGGGCCAAAGTTTTTAATGTGGGCTTTATAATGCATTATGTTTGTATGTATTATGTTTGTAAAACAAAATATTAGAGTGAGTGTGCAGTTTGAATCTTTACTAATGGGTAGGCTGTAACAGCTTGCAGTTACATTTGTCTTATTAGCTCTCTGTACTGTGTAATACTCCGTTCTACCACTAGGGGGTACTCTAGTAAGGAAGGTTCCTAGTAGCATAAAATGGTAGAAGAAGTAGAGTAAGGAAGGAAGGATGTGTTAAGCACATGGAGAAGCTTCCCTACTAGTGTGGTCATGTTTTTCCCTGATTTGAGGAACCTGTGGTTCCTATGCTCAAACGTAAGTGTTCAGTTTGTACTTTGTTTGTATGTGTAATGTTAGGTGATGTGTCAGCAAATGAGATGTAAATGTGTTATGGTGGCACTCAGTTTGTTTGTTTGTTTGATGCAGAGGGTTCATCGTGCAGGCATGAGGCAGCAACTCATCTATAACTAAACCCTTGACCAATATGGAATTAATTGTCTACAATCACACCTTTGGCATCTGCTGTTTGTGCCTTGAACTACAGTTTGTCCTAGTATCAACCGCTGCTTGGACACTTGGATTCAGACCATTGTGAACTCTTCCGCTCTGCGCTTAAGTACAGTTTCTTGTTACTTGTGGGACTCTAAGGACTGAACTCTTGGCTACCAAAAGCATTATTGGGAAGAGCTGAATTAGCCCTATTGTCTTGTAAATGAATGCCTCATGTATTTTGTATGGTTACTGCCTGAATGCTGATTTATGGTATAATACACATGGCTCATTGAAATGTGAAGTCTCTGGTCCCTCACTTTATTATGTAGCAATCTTTCTTAGAAAGCTTTCTTAAAAGTAGATGTTACAAGGCTACTACCTGGATGACATCACTTCCAAAACAGATCGGTGTCTTTATTTAAATTTCCAAAAAAATGACCAAGAAGAGGTGGATTCACTTTGTGAAGAGTCACCTTGACGGAGAGCTGAAGATCATCACCAACACCTGCCTCTGTAGTGATGATTTTACACAGGATAGTTTTATAAACTTTCGTTGAAAACAACTGTGATTCACTGATAATCCGCTGTTACTGGTGAATGGAGCCGAGCCGACCATCTCCCGCCTCAGCGTTCATCCTCCCGTTACGAAAGCAGTTTCACCGTCGACAGCTTTCCCACGAGTGGGCGTGGTTTCAGCGCAACCAGCAGACACGCCCCCACAGTGGACACGCCCCCAGTGCTTGAGATCAGAGAATACTGCTAATTTTTTCAAGATTTTGATAGCTTACTTGTCAGATTTTTATCATTCAGATTTGGCTGGGTGGCTAATAACACATTTTCTGTGGTGTGGCAAACTCAGAACACATACTTAATTTTGACTTTACCGTGACTTTAAAGATCTATCAGTCTGCTCCGTTCATAGATTCATGCCAAAAGTATGTAATAGTGTAAGAAATTATAGTCTGTCCTGACTCAGCTTCCACTTCAAGATATGGATTAGAATATGGTCTTTGAATATTCATAGAGTGAAACTCTATCACTTCTACTGTAGATTGGGAGTTGCGGGGAGTCGTCAAGAATAATGTTCAGAAGATACATGAAGGACACATGGAGTCCCGTCTCAAACAATATCAATGATGTGGGAACGGAAGGCTTTCAGTTTCATTGTTATCCTCAATTTACTTTTAAGACTAAACTTCATTTACATGTAGAGCTGGAGGAAGAATGTAATACAGTATATACTGTTTGAGCAGAGATTATTCTGGGTTTATTCTGACTCTGATGAACGCAGGAGCTTTAATGCACTTTTACAAAATGTAATTATTTTACAATGCACTGAAAGAGATGTTTGAGTCAGTTTGTGTTTCTGTGTTTGTTCTCAGATTTACCCACATCTACAGTGACTGTGACACCAGCCGGTCCTGTATTCACTGGAGAAACAGTCAATCTGAAGTGTGTGATAAACTCTGATCACAGTGACTGGAGATATGAGTGGTATAAAGACAGTGTAATATTACAGACGTCTGGCCGTTACACTGTAAACAGAGACACTGTCACTATCAGAGGAGCGACTGAGTATGATCAGGGTCAGTACTGGTGTAAAGGACAGAGAGATGGAAGACCAAACTCATCAACATCAAGATCTGCTGTTTCTCTCTCTGTGAAGGGTGAGTTCAACATCATTGTCCTCATAAACTCATTCTATGATCACACACACAATCAAGAGACTGTTCAGATTGAACTACTGTCTTACTTATCACAGCTTTGTGTCAGTGTTCTGCCCTGCCAGCCTTGTCTGTGTCGTCTTTGTGTCATGTTTCTGTGTGTCTTGTGTTTAAGCACATGGCTCTGTTTATGTTTGTGTTTGTCATGTGCTCCTCATGTCCCGCCCCCTTGTTTAGTCCTGGTCCAGGGGCCTGTACCATGAATCCGGTTTAGGTGGCTAGCCAGCTGTGTTTCAGTTTAGTTTGCGGCGACCCTGGGTTTTAGGCACCATGGAAGTGGTTTTGCTATTAACAGTGTTCATCTCCATAGTAACTTACACTCTACGGCTAACCTGGTCCGGGGCAGGTGAGGCTCCAGGTGAAAGGTTGCAAACGGAACTTTGACCAATCAGCTGTGAGCAAAGTGACACGTCTGACGTGATAAAAGTCACTCCACCTGTTTCTGCTCCAAATTAAAGGTCACTGCAGCAAATGATTATTAAAGACAAAATCGTCTGGCTTTTAGTAATGCTTATTTAGAATAATACATTTGTATGATGTATAAATTATTCATGTAATTATTATACCCTTAATCGATCACAAATGTACATTTTTTGTTCATCAATTACTATTACACAGATTTTTAATGAATAAATATATAAAGTTGGTAATATAAATACACTTTAGAATCAATAGGTAAAAGCTATAATATAACTTTAACGTGCACTGATATACAGGATAGCAAGACTTTTTTTTAGTTTTTTAGTTGTCCTCTTTCATTGACAGCTATTTTCTTCTTGATGTGTAAATTTGTTTAAATTATTAATATTTTAATACTTTTATTTGAGAAGTGAATCGCACTGTTTCTCTTGCGAGAAATGCATTTCAATGAGTTTTGAATGAGTTTCAGTCTTTCTCAGCATGTGATTGGCTGTTCGCTCATGATGTCACACCTAAACTCCTAAACTAAGGAGGATCAAAGCCTGAGTTGACAGAGAAAGTTGATGATCAGCATCATGGTACCAACGAAGCCTGGTTGGACTGGTTTGGTTTTGTCAACTCGAACGTAAACCTGCAACCCTGAGTTTGTTGCCATCATGGTACCAGCCTCAGTAGTTTTTACTAATCGTGCTCACCTGATCCTCATGTGCTCTGGTCCCTTTATATTGTCCCTCATGTGTTTGCTGGTTCATTTATGTGTTGTTTTCCTTCATTGTGTGCATTCTCGCTTCTGACAGTCAGTGCTAGATTTAGATTATTTGTCAGTTCTAGCTTTGTGTTTGTTTTGTTTTGATTAGATTTGTATCCAGTTTTTTTCTTTGTTCCTGATTTTAAGTCTCGTAAGGAAGGGCAAATGAAGCCTTATGAAGCACAGAGACTTTCCCCTGCTTGTTCCAGGAAAAGATGTGAAGCATCAATAGTGTTGAAACAGCGCCGTCTTGAGGCAGGACAAATGTATAGCAGCCACAGACCCGAGTGCGCGTCGCTGTTGTTTTAGCTAAATGTTCAGTTTTCTGATAATATAATTCACATATTAAAGTGTGGCAATAAATTAAATATAACAATTAATACTAACTGTAAAAATACCAACAGTTGCTTGATGCAAGTAAATGGTGGTCTTATTATTTTATGGTCTCTATGCTGTTTATAATATGAAAGGATATATGATCATGTAACATGGGCTATAGGCATATTTAGATTAAAAATAAAATAAAAATAAAATGAAATAATAAAAAAAAAAAAAATTGAAAATTGACTTAAACTTCCGAAACCCTGTCATGGTCTGGGCAGAGCCCGTCTAACGGAGAGCCTTGGCACTTCCTACTAGCCCTATTGTGCATCATCCTGGTTGCAGTTCCATTAGAATTCCACTGGAGGTGATCGCGGGCGAGAGCAGAATGAATGGGAGTCTATGGGGCTAAACGACTAAGTGTCTCTTTCACCTGCTTGTCGTTAAATCAAAATAGATTTTATTGTTGATTCCGCAAGTTCAATATTGATTATAGGCCCAAAGTCGAATGAATGAGTACTTATGTCCTTTCGATTTCTTACAGGTTAGGCTGTTGTTGGCCAGAACACGCTAGCATTCTGCTATTGTGTGACGTCATCACATTTTTGAACGGATTTTTAGAACAGATAAGTGAACTTAAAAATGCAATTTTCAGCTGAGTGTATTTTCTTAGCCCTCCATTTTGAATGCAACTTTCAAATTACTTGACAAAAAATTGGATTTCTGGGGTGAAACCCCATTGACTCCCATTCATTCTGCACTCGACCGCGAGCGCCCCCGCATGGACAGACACGTGTCACTGCAGCCAGTCCTGAAACCGGAAGTAACCAGCCAGTGCCAATTCTCTTCAATTAGACATTCTCTGGTCTGGGTTCAAATGTTCCGACACACAAACTATGTGAAGCATTCACGCAACTGGACAGAAAGTGAGGCTTCGTGTTTCATTGATCACATGTTTCTCTGAAAACAATACGCACTCCGACACAAAGCAAAATGAGTAATTTCACTGCGAACTCGATACACGCTTTTAAGCTTCAGTGTCATATGTACAGGGCCGGCTTTGCCGACAGGCGACACAGGCGGCCGCCTGGGGCGCCATCTGCTGGACGGGGCGCAAATTGCAGAATTGAAAAAAAAAAGTGAATTAAATGTATCGTATCATGAAAGCTGCGCACACGCTGTACACTTTTACTGTACATTGTCTACACTACACACTGCTTGTATTTGTCCATTTCTTTTACAAGATTATACAATCCTAAAAAACGACTGACTCCAGGCAGCTGTCAAACTCACGCGCGTTGCTCAGCAACCGGGAGTGGCGCGAAAACATATGTTATGCGCGAGCCAGATATCTGACAGCTGGTTTTAGCGCTTTAGTTTCCTCGGTGTAATACGTGCCTTCGGCTCAAAATAGTCCTCGTCGGCTTTGTTTCGCCCGATTCGACATGTTGACAAGGGGATGCCCGCGTATATTCAAAATGGTTGTCACGCGCTGCTTTGTTTACGTTATGTGTATCTGCAGCCGGCCGACAGCGTCGGTTTTCCTTTATATCTGCAGAAATAGACAGTTGGCTCATTGCACGCAGGCGCAGAATATAGCTGACAGTCGCCTGTAGTTCTCTCGGTGTGTTCAAGTCATGGTTCAAGTGCAGCTTTTTACCCCGGCTTTGATCAGCGCTAGTTCGTCGGCGTTATATTAACCTTCAAATGGTCTTCGTTTCCTGTGGGGGTAAGGGGACTCTCGCCTTGGGCACCAAATAACCTAGAGCCGGCCCTGCATATGTAGCATCACTAAAGTCTAAGTCAAGTCTTTATCTTGATAGTTCTTACAAATTTTATTTTTATTTTTTTATTTTATTTTTATTATTAACTAATGTTTTATTTAATATCTCTCTAATTCCCAAGGTTTTCTTTATTTATCCAAGTTGCTGTTATTTATGTCTAGATCTTTTATTTATTTCGCTGGATCCTGTTATTATAGTATAGGGCTGTCTTTATTTTTCTCCAGTCTCATCATCAGTTTTATTTTGCTTTTATTTGTTGTGTTGGCCGGTTCAGTCTTGTCTGGTGTTGGTCGATGATTCTCCTGGTCTGTTGTTACGTCCAGTCTCATCTCCATCTGTCATGCTCTGATTCCCTGAGCCGCTGCCGTGTCTCCATCTTTGGCTGTCATGTGTTTCTGTCTCAGCTTCGACCTGTTCTCCAGTTGCGTTCCCTGCCCTATCGTGTAGACTGTATTTCTACCTCACATATCTTGTACTTGTTGTCTATAGACGAATCCGGCGAAACTACCGGAAGTAAGCGGGCGCCATTACTGAGCTGTTGCTGGGTAGCGTTGCGCCATTGCCTCCTATTGTTTTAGTTGCAACTTGCGTCCACTGGAATAAACAGCCCGCGATTTACGACTGTCACTAACGTTACAACGTTATCTCTTGTATAATGTCGAGTGGGTAAACAGTTTCCGTTATAAATTGTTTCAATTGTGGCAGTAAAATTTCAATTTTGAAGAGAAAACACTGTGAATACCCCGGGTCGAGTGCCCCTGTCTGGTGCCGTACGGTTTACAGATTTCCTGGGCGAGTACAAGACGTGGACATTCGCATATAATAACAATTATTTAATGACATAAGTAAAAAAATATATAATAAATATGTGATATAGTGATCAGCAAAATCTCCTCTCTTTATTTTTCTATTCAATTAACATGCTATGGTCATTAAATGGCTTTCCTGAGCTAAATGTAACGTTATGTGACATAATTGTTTTCCTGCTGTTATATTGACCTCTTTCCATGGTTTAAAAACACTAATTGGTCGATATTATGTATACTTTCTAGCTGTAACGTTACCTTACCCTTACCTGTTGCAATGTGAAAATGAGATAAATAATGGACACAAATGAAAAACATGAATTTGTTTATTTGATTTTATTCATTTATTTATTTATTGTTACCAAATGGACAGATCTTTTTATAGTTTCCTCGTTAGCAAACGTTAGCCTAGCTAGCTTGCCAAGCTATTTTCATAAATAACGTTAATCTGTAAGATCGTTTGTACCTTCATCTGTGACTGGAGGCCACTGCAGTCACAGATCAAACCAACAAGTCATTCTGCCTGGCTGTAGCTGTCATCGAGGGTGAGTTCGCGTTATCACCGAGGTTTGTTTACATACCGGTGCATATGTCTATATGCCTGTGTAACAGCTCAGTAATGGCGTCGCCACAAGATGGCAGCCTACACAGAACGCTCGTCGGATTCGTCTATAAATGACACCCCTTGCTTTTTCTGCACTGGGTCCTCAGATCTCCTGTCAGCTTTGTATTATATATGTATTAGATCTACTATCACCCATGTGCATCAGAACACATTATACACCGATATATTATTTAACGTTATCACATGACCTCATGACATTGCATGTTTAATGCAATGATGTTATAATATATAAAACTTAATTGAGATCTTCAATGTCCTCAAAACATTTATAAAATATAATTCTGTTACAATGCACTGAAAGAGATGTTTGAGTCAGTTTGTGTTTCTGTGTTTCTTCTCAGGTTTACCCACATCTACAGTGACTGTGACACCAGCCGGTCCTGTATTCACTGGAGAAACAGTCAAACTGAAGTGTGTGATAAACTCTTATTACAGTAACTGGAGATATGAGTGGTATAAAGACAGTGTAAAGTTACAGACATATGATCGTTACACAGTAAACAGAGACACTGTCACTATCAGAGGAGCTACTGAGTCTGATCAGGGTCAGTACTGGTGTAAAGGACAGAGATATGGAAGACCAAACTCATCAACATCAAGCTCTGTTGTTTCTCTCTCTGTGAAGGGTGAGTTCAACATCATTGTCCTCATTAACTCTCTCTGATACAGTATAAATAATCGAGGCACTGTTCAGACCGAACTCTTTATATACTGTATTCTATCTACTATCATCATTAATATATTTGCAACAAAATACTTTATACTCTAAAAGATGCAGGGCAATTTTTTCAACCCATTCGCTGGGTTGAGACTGTTGGGTAAGAACGCTGGGTTGCAAATAAGTGACGCCAAAATGAATGGGAGTCAATGGGAATGCTAACGCAAGTGAAGTTCTGCTACAAGATGGCAGCTCCCGCGAGGCTTCAACTTCCGGTCGATGGATTACCCCCTTGGCCCATTCACTACCGAAGCGCATGACACTTGAAACCTGCGCAAGGGGCTTGCGCTATTTTTAAATCAGAATATGAAGCAGTCACGTGGTTGTGTGTTGAAACGAAGCTTCGGACGTCACTGATCACATGGTTATGGCAAAACGAATCAAGCTCTGGTACAGTGCTTCACGTGAGAGTTTCGTTTTTTTGATAGAAGCTGCGAAGCCTCGGTGCCGAACGTCACATCACTAGTTGCAAGTGCCAATTTGAAGTTGTACTGCGAATTTGAATGTTAGAAGAAGTGCAAATATATTTTTCACATTTGTGACTGCTTGTCTGCAGCTTCAGATTCAGAATACAGTTTTGTGACTGTTGTCTGTGAGTGCAAATCTCAGCGTTCAAGTTCAGATTTTTACTTTACAGGTTTTCAAATCGGAGCTGTGAGTGTAAATGTTTGCGTTCACGTACGAATATTGTACAAGTTCCAGGGGCGTAGGAGCAATTCTGAACCTGGGGGGGGACAGTCAATGCTAAGGGGGTCCGGGGGTATGCTCCCCCGGGACATTTTTTTGAAAAATAAACCATTAAATGACACTTTCTAGAGAGTTTTGTGCAAAAAAAAATGGAGAAATTGAGTCTTACATGATATGTGAAAAACTGCAAGGTTAAGAACATATACTTTGCATTGTTGTATCAACATGTATTAGGGCATTTAGCATTTACATTAGCCTACTGTTAATCAGTCATGTACTGATTAACTCAAATAAATGGTTGATTTGATTTACATAAATAAATACTAAAAAATATAATCAATCTATCCCTTGTGAAGGTTGCTTGGTAGCTAGTAGGTCTAGCAATTATATTTCAAGTTTTTCACACAGATCAAACACAAATGCTGACTGAATAGATTGCTAGTTTAGCCAGCTAGCAGCTCTCTTGGCAGTTTGCTGATAATCCGGTGTCTGAAGTAAAATGCTTAAAACATCTCCTGAGAAAAATACCAACCAAGTCTGTCCAAGTCCAAGTCTTATTTTACTTACATTGTCATTCAAGGCCAGGGCACTTTTTGTACATTTTTAGAACTTTTGCGCGCTTCCACATCCCGTGCAACTACAGATCTCCCAGGAACATATTGATGCGTACATTTATCCGTGTCACCTAGATGCGCATGCGCGAGCGGTGCGCGATGCCGCGATCATGGTCGATCGACCATCGACTTAGATTTTGAGATCACGTGTAATGGCTCCTTTTTTTTTTTTTTTTTTTTTTTTTTTTACGTGTAATGGCTCCTACGCCCATAGAGGGGTTTCACGACGCGTCATCAGACCGGAAGTCGGCCATTTTGGAGGCACTCCGCAATGTCCGCATCACAATAAGCATAGGCACTGTAAAGTACACAATTAAAGAATTAATTGCTAACTATTGGAATGCAGCTACAATTAAAAATTCTTTTTGTGCCAATTGGGAGCTTCTAAAATTTGAGATTGGAGTTTATTTAAGGAAAGTTGGAGCAAATTTATCCAAAAAGAGAAGAGTTCTTGAGGACAGCCTGATCATGAAATTATCTCAAACCCGTAATTTTAATTGTCTGTCTTTGAAGGAGAAATCTGAACTTGCAGCCTTGCAAACTAAATTAGATGATTTATACTTATCAAAGGCTAGGGGTGCTTATATAAGATCCAGGAAAAGATGGCTTGAAGAAGGAGAACTTAACTCTGCATATTTCTTTAAGCTTGAAAAATGAAATTTTACCCTTTCAACAATTGAGAAATTATGTGTTGATGGCAAAGTTGTTAAAGATCCAAAGGATATAGCCAATGTCAGTGCCAATTTTTATAAAAATCTTTATAGTTCAAAATGTACAGAGGAGACATCGACTTTGTTTCTGGATTCAGTTAATAATGTTAAAGCTATCTCTGAAAGTGATAGATTGTGTTGTGATAGAGCTGTTACTCATGAGGAAGTAATAAGCACAATTAAGAGTTTGAAAAACAATAAATCCCCAGGATGTGATGGACTTACAGCTGAGCTATATAAATTATTTGCTGATGAACTTTCTCCATTTTTGACAAGTGTTTTTAAAGAGAGTATTGATAAAGAAGCTTTACCTCCTACTTTAACGCAGGGTATCATCACACTAATTCCTAAACCAAAGAAAGATCTTACATATTTGGACAATTGGCGACCCATCACACTCCTTAACAACGATTATAAAATTTTTGCCATAATATTTGCTAAAAGACTTAAAGAATGTTTGGATAGCGTTATAGATGAAACACAGTCTGGATTTATGAGAGACAGACACATAATGAATAACATTAGATTAGTTTTAGATTTATTTGATTATAGCAATTTGGTGGAACATAATAGTTTTATTCTTTTCCTGGATTTTTATAAAGCGTTTGATTCAGTTGAACATCATTTTATCTTTAAGTCAATGGAAAAGTTTGGTTTTGGTGAATATTTTTGTAAGGCGGTAAGGACTCTTTATTACAATTGTAATAGTTCAATCAAATTAAAATTTGGTACTTCTCCGAGGTTTTACTTGTCACGTGGTATTAGACAAGGATGTCCAATATCCCCGTATTTGTTTTTACTAGTTTCCCAGATATTTGCTTCTTATGTTTTGAATAGTGGTCTTCGTGGTATCTCTATTGCTGACCAACAGATCCTCATCAGTCAGTTGGCTGATGATACCACACTTTTTTTGCATGATGCTAACCAAGTTCCGTTAGCTCTAGAGCATATCCAGCAATTCTCTAAAGCCTCGGGCTTAGTATTGAACCTTTCGAAATGTGAATTGATGTCCATCAAAGAGTGTAATTTGTCTCAAATTTGTAATATTCAAATTAAAGATCAGGTGTCATATTTAGGTATTATTATAACAAAAAATGAATTAGAAAGATGCTCTGTAAATTTTAATCCGCTAATTGAGAGTACACAGAAGAGACTTTATATGTGGCTCCAGCGAGATCTGTCATTAAAGGGAAGAATTTTATTAGCCAAAGCTGAGGGCTTGTCAAGGTTAACATACGCTGCTCTTTCTTTAAGTGTCGACACCGCCATTCTTAAAAAAATTGATACAATGCTCCTCAACTTTGTCTGGAAGAATAAAACTCATTTTATCAGAAAATCTGTACTTATGAACACCATTGAGAAGGGGGGTTTAAACTTTCTCGATTTTACCACCTTAAACAATACCTTTAAAATAAACTGGATAAAGAACTTTATTAATAAGCCCGCTTCTATCTGGAATCTGATCCCTAATGCTATTTTTTCTAAACTAGGGGGTTTAAAATTCTTATTAACCTGTAATTATAACATAATGAAAATCCCTATCAAATTATCCCTTTTTCACAGGCAAATGTTATTAGCTTGGTCCCTCATTTTTAAACACAATTTTACACTTCACTCTTATACAATTTGGAATAACAAGAACCTACTATATAAACATAAATCTATTTTCTTTGATAATTGGTTTAAAAACGGAATTATTTTTGTATATCAACTTTTCAATCAAAATGGTTTGATCTGTAATTATTCAGAGTTCTTGGTAAAGCATGGAATTCCTGTCACTCCTAAAGAGTTTGCAATTGTGGCTGATGCAGTGCCACAAGGGGTTCTCATGCTTTTTAAAGGATTTTCTTCTTCATCTCTTTACCGCTCAGTGGATCTGTGTAAGACATTTGTAGGTAAACAGTGCTTTTCTTCTTCTAAATCAAAAAATAATAAGAAAATTCGAGTCTTGTTTCAGGAGGAGTCTGTTTCTATGCCATGTGTAATTTCTTACTGGAATGGTTTTGTAAGTGACATTCCCTGGAAAAAAGTTTGGACATTACCTCACAAATACCTGATAACTAACAAAATAAGAGAAATTACCTTTAAGTTAATTCATAGGGTTTATCCAAATAAGTGTTTTCTCAAAAGGCTCAAGAATGATATTAATACCCTCTGTTCTTTCTGTTCAGAGAAACCTGAGACTTCTTTACATTTATTTTGGAACTGCTCTCTCACAATGACTTTCTGGTATGACATTTGTGATTTTACAAAATGTTATGTGAATCCTAACTTTGATTTTACATATAGAAATGTAATTTTTGGTTTTCATGAATGTGAAAAGAAAAGGGATATTTATTTTATAAATCTTATTTTTCTGTTAGCTAAATTTCACATTCACAAATGTAAATTTTCTAATTGCAGTCCTCTTTTTGTAAGATTTAAACTTGAAATGAAAATGTACTTTGAATCTATAGAGTTCTCTAAAAACTTAAAAGCTATAAGAACAGTGGCTGCGTTTAAGGACTTGGCACTTAACCTGGAGTAAAAAGACAGAAGGAGCTTAATCTGGATTGAAGGACTCAATGGTTTTTATGTTATGACAATGACAATAATTGTGGTATATGTTTTTTTTGTTTGTTTGTTGTTGTGATGTTTTCCTTTACGAGCATTTAATAAAAAAAAAAAAAAAAAAAAAAAAAATAAGCATAGGCACTGAGCTATATCTCGAACGTCGTCAAGGAAAATGTTTAATTATTGCCGTGTTTCAGGTTGTACCAATAGGAAAAACCGAGAAAAACATTTGGAATATTATCGACTTCCAAAATTTTGACATTGATGCGTCTTAGGCTTAATGTTTCCACAACCTTCCTGTCATATGCATTCAACGTGTCAAAAGCCACTGCTTCAAGGATTGTCACTGATGTAATTGATGTCATGTTTATTCGCATTAAATTGCCCACGTCAGGATTCATGTTGAGCGTGTGATTGGTTGTGTGCGCCAGAAATATACTATTTTGGGGGAATATTGCCAATTGATGTACAAAGATAGTGATGGGTATTGTACCATAGATAAGATTGAACTTGTCTGTTGTGCTCTGGTGAACTTTAGTCCATCAGATTACATTATTTTTAATCTGAATTAAATTATAATCTAAATCTAAATTATATTTTTATATGCACTTTGCCAATAAAAATATAAATTAATCCATGTCTGAACTTAATTGTCTATTAAGCCAAAAATGATCTATAAATGATTGTTAATTTACAGTCATTGTGGATGACAACACACAGCATATCCCGATCATCAGAACACAGATTTATTAAAGAAAAAAGACTTTTATCAGGACACTTATAAACTTTACACTACTATAAATTATACAGTGTAATGTAGTGCAATACACTAACTGTAAACACAATTTTATATGTAACTTGAGTATAACTTTTATTTGTCAAAATATCTTTACAAAAATATTACCAACTAGAAAACAAATGCCAAAAATATTTAAAGAACATATCACGATTACAGAAAAGGTGCACAATTCAATATATCAGGATATGCAACTGAAGGAAGAATCACCGGGTTGTTATGGATCTACGAAGAGGGAGCTAACTCGTAGGAATCTGCACCGCCAATAAATCGTAATTTCTCAAAATATCGCGCCTTTTCTTGTGGCCCAAGTCCTTCCCTATATGCCTTTGCATCTTGAACGCGTTTTGATGAGCTTTTCTGTTGTTTAGATCTGGCTATAATTCACTTAAAGTATCCACAGCGCACAATAGTCCATTGTGCTCCATTCAGTTGTTTACACCGAGTACCTCCAAAATGGCCGCGCATCCGGGTTACCGCCCAGAACGTGACGTCGGTGAAACCCCTCTTTTCAAATTCACATCTACGTGCTCTCGAGTTTAGCTACTCATTTACCTTCAGTGGTTGAACGCAGCGCTGAGATCGAACTAGTATTGAGATACAGGCTTGGACATAAATTTCAATAACTTATGCAGTGTTAGTTATTGTTGTGGTTTAATTGTGTTGATGCATTTTAGTTTGTTAACTTGTGATAAAGAGTTATTAACTCTTATTATCTCTATATTTTTTGCATGTATATTTTTTGCAAGTTATATAATTGTCATGTAGTTCTCAAACAATTTAAGATTGTAAGTTTAAATTTTGGAGTTTAATACCTTTTGCTTGATTAAGTTGATGCACTATATAATAGAATTATAAAGTTGAAACCAATAAATTATTTATAGGTGGGGTAAGTGTATAGTGTAAACATTACATTCATTTTATTCAGCCTTGTCATTCGTTCATCATCTGCACTTTATTTCTGTAAATCATTATTTTGTTCTGCTTCTGCTTTGATAAACACACATCCTGGGAGGCATTGTAGTCCTCGCACTGGCTCCCTGTAGGTTTCATGTTGGTTTTAAAATGATAATGCATATACTTATAAGGGTTTCCATGGCCTGACTCCTCAATATTTGTCAGAACATTTAATCCCATACATCACAAACTCGTGATCTCTGCTCCACTGAAGCTGGTCTTTTAACTGTCCCGCCAACTCGTTTGGATCGATTGGCGATGGGGCTTCCTCTTCATTTGCTCCAAAACTATGGGGCTCTCTGAGTGTTTTAAAGCTTTCCTCAAAACAGACTTTTTTTAGGGTAGATTTTATTTGATATATTTAATTTCTTTATTTTTTTTTTCTGTACCATTTTCACATGGAACCCTTTTTTTATAACATTTTATATTTGTATTGTATATTTGAATGCACTTCTCTTTTATGAATGATTTTCTTTATATTGTTGTATTACTCTTTTATATTTTCTTAATTTTGTGAATCGCTTTGAGATGTAGCTTTTAAAGGCACTATAGAATGTAAAGTTTATTATTATCATAACATGGATCATGATACTGTGATGCTGTTTTATTCAATATTTACTCATATGTGTATTAATACAGGAAAACCTGTAGTGAAGGTGAGGCCAGATCAGCGTGTGTTCATAGGAGAGAGAGTCACTCTCACATGTGACATACAGGGAGGAGGAAACATTCAGTGGAGATACAGCTGGATTAAAGATGGAAACACTGTCAATCCATATACAACAACAACAACAACAGCATATTACAGTTTCACAGCTTCTGCGTCTCTCAGTGGTGAATACAGATGTAGAGGAGAGAGATCAGACTCACACACAGACTTCAGTGATGGAGTTACACTGACTGTATCAGGTGAGTCTTCATATTCACATCTGTTTAATCATCATTTAATATCCATATTTCAACACTTATGATCTTCTGTATCAGCCACGTCTGTTCTTATAAGAAATTCACTTTTAGTCATGATTGTCTTCAGATGAAGTGCATGTCATGTTTGTCGTGTGTGTGTGTGGGTGTGTGTGTGTGTGTGTTGCACATTTTTATCAGGATACTTTTATAAAATCATGTCAATTGTGACTTTCCAGTGTTAAAGACGTCTCCATCTTTGAGATTTACTTTAGTCACTGTTAGTTTGGTTACAGGAGATATTTAATAATAGAAAAGATGAGATTTGTCCGAGAGAATGACGTGACTTACAGACACTGATGTGAAATGAGTTGATGAAGTCTTCAGATATTCTGATGAAGTTGATTCAGTCTCAGTATCTCCTCATATGAGCTTTAGTTGGAGATCTTCATCTCTCCTTCAGGAGCTTCATTCTGCTTTCTGTGGCGAGTCAGAGCCTCAAAACAACTGACATGATAAAACTAATGACAGAACAGCAACAAAACACAATTAATACTATGAAATATGAGACAAAATCATCATGACTCATCATGTTAGTCTGCCCGAATCAGCTTCCACCTCAATATTAGAATATAATGTAAATATCAGCGGAGTGAAACTCGATCACTTCTAGTGTGAAACGGCAGCGGGACGTCAAGAATAATCCTGTGTTCAGAAGATACATGAAGGACACATGGAGGCCCGTCTCAAACAATATCAATGATGTGGGGACGGAAGGGAACTTTCAGTTTCATTGTTATCCTCAATTTACTTTTAAGACTAAACTTCATTTACATGTAGAGCTGGAGGAAGAATGTAATAGAGTATATAATGTTTGAGCAGAGATTATTCTGGGTTTATTCTGACTCTGATGAACGCAGGAGCTTTAATACACTTTGTCACTGTTGCTGCAATAACACTTCATCATTGAGATCTTCAACATCCTCGAAACATTTATAAAATATAATTCTGTTACATTGCACTGAAAGAGATGTTTGAGTCAGTTTGTGTTTCTGTGTTTCTTCTCAGATTTACCCACATCTACAGTGACTGTGACACCAGCCGGTCCTGTATTCACTGGAGAAACAGTCAATCTGCAGTGTGTGATAAACTCTGATCACAGTAACTGGAGATATGAGTGGTATAAAGACAGTGTAAAGTTACAGACGTCAGATGATCGTTTCACTGTAAACAGAGACACTCTCACTATCAGAGGAGCTATTGGGTCTGATCAGGGTCAGTACTGGTGTAAAGGACGGAGAGATGGAAGACCAAACTCATCAACATCAAGCTCTGTTGTTTCTCTCTCTGTGAAGGGTGAGTTCAACATCATAAACTCTCTCTGAAACAGTATATATAATTGAGACACTGTTGAGACTGATCTACTGTCTTATTAAATTCAGTAAACAGGGCCAATAATTAACACTCATCATAAGCCAAATGTGAGTAAAAATCAGTGAGTGTGTGAACGGTGTCAGTCGGCCAGTTTCTACACAAAGTGAACAACAGTGAATGACACTCTGTACAGTTGACGTGTCAGCGCTTCATCATCACGAAAGTTTCAGCCTTTCCAATGTAAATATTCAAGAGCTGGAAGTGAAACAGCGAAAGGGAATTCGTAACTTGTGTGTGTGGTCCGTCCGTGTATCTTTTGGCCATTTGATTTCCTGTTTGGAATGGAATAACGAGAAATGAAAACCAGCTTGTTTATTTGTTTCTTTGTTGAGTTTAAAAAAAAGAAAAAATTGATTTTGGCTTTTTCATTTGTGATTTTTCATTTTTCACTTTTCATTTTTCGTTTGTGGTTTACAAATCGATTTATGGGTTCGATATTTCATTTATGCTGAAACGCCCCTTTCATCTGATTGGTCAAACCGCTCCGCCTTCAGTACAATCTTTTCTTTCTGTCCGGCAGAATAAGAGTCACGAGTGCGGCATTAACAAATGCACTTTAATAAAATAATGTCTGAAACCACCACTCACTGTTAACTACGCACAATATTTGAAGCAGAAATATGTTGCTGGTCACGTAACTCCATTAATGTGAGCCACATACGCCTACATATGACAGATTATTTTAGCATGATGTATTTCGCATTGATAAATACTGTGCAAATAGTTCAGTGTTTTGGATAAAAGGGAAGTGGAAATAAAAATACAATACTAAACGTAACAGTACCATTATAAAATATGTCCGTAACATGAGATGTCTGTAGACGACCTTCGGTTACATTAGAAATGGGGGATAACACTGTATAAAAATACTGTATAAAAATCATTATGTCTAAAGTTCCCACATAAAACATGAAAACCCAACAACCCAATGGGAATATATCCTTGCTGTGTAAAACATCTGTTCATAATCTGTTACACAATTCCAATATGAATAGCACCGGGAGATCATCAACAATCATCAGTCCAGCTAATCTCACAGTGGGATCATATTCAGAATGTCCTTCTCGTAAAACACACAAATGGGCTTCCTTTGTTACATACATTTGTGCATAAATGTTTGCATTCAAGTTTTTCATACAGACAGACAGATTAATAACTAAACTGTGTATCTGATTTGTCATTTTTTTCTGCTTTTCTTCCCGCATGCACACTTGTTCACAGAGTAAAACGCAACAACGTATCTGGTTTGCAACACACACACACAGCTACAGCTGTGCTCACTCAAGGTGATTTTATTCATTAAACAACCAATCACAAATGTTCACACCTCCATTACTCATCACGTGCAATTTCATTCATTATACATAAACAATCAATAGTAAAGAAAAGAAAAATAAATAAATAAATAATGCATATTGAGAGCACACAGTTAACACCCCCACTTGCTCTCACATTGTTAACATTGAATGCATCATTTTCCAAAAATGAATTCATCAAACTTCATCATCTTGCACCTGGTTACAGGCTTTGTCAACACATCTGCTACCATCTCATTAGTGGGACAATACACTAATGCAATGTCACCATTATTTACAGAAGACCTAATAAAATGGTACTTGACGTCTACATGTTTGCATCTTTGCCTGCTCACAGGATTTTTTGCTAAGGCGATTGTACCTTGGTTATCCTCATAGATTTCAGGTTGCGAGTACTGACATTTATCAAGATCTTTCAACAGTTGTTTAAGATAGAGACATTCCTGTATGGTTGTGGCTAGGGCTATATACTCTGCCTCACAGGTGGACAGTGCGACAGTTGGCTGTTTCTTTGTTTTCCATGAAATCAAAGCACCACCTTTAGTCAAACTTACACAATAGCCAGTTGTACTACGTCTGTCATTACTAGCTGCCCAGTCTGCATCACTGTATGCTCTTATTCCCAGTGTCTCATTACATTTTCTGTAACACAGTTCTTTGTCAATTGTGCCTTTAAGATACCTTAGTACCTGTTTAACTGTGGACCATTGTTCAACAGTTGGTTCTGTGAAATATTGTGACAGTTTGCTTACAACAAAACTTAGATCAACTCTAGTACAGATGGTCAAATAGATGAGGCTTCCCACTGCCTCTCTATATTTTTTCACATCAATCATCTTTTCAGCATCATTGTTATAGTCAAGTTTTTGTTCACAAGGAGTTGATCTAGGTTTGCAATCCTGCATGTTAAACCTTTGCAATATTTTTGTCACATATTTTGCTTGTGACATTCTCACACAGCTGTCACTCTGGTCAAAATCAACACCTAAAAAATGCCTCAATTTGCCCAAGTCTTTCATTTGGAATCTTTCGGTAAGCATGTCCTTCACACGTCTCAGAACATTTTTCATCACTTGCCACAATCAACAAATCGTCAACCCATATTACAATGATCACTTTTTCTTTAGCAGTTTCCCATGTATACACACAATTGTCAGCTTGATTTTGCACAAAGTGGTTACTGGTCAAGTAGTCATGTAGTACCTTGTTCCAGTTTCTGCCCGACTGCTTTAACCCATACAATGACCTCTCCAATCTACAAACCATTTTTCATTTGTGTCAGATTTTACTTCATAACCTTCTGGTTGTTCTATGTAAATTTCATGATCTATTGGTGCGTTCAGATAGGCAGTTTTTTACATCCATATGGTGCAGCATGGGCGAGGCTAGCCCCTTTTAGGGTGCTTCAGCACCCCTAAAAAGGAGCTCAGCACCCCTAAAACTTGGAGAAAGAAATTTGTTATTCTAAAAATTTTGTTCGTCTTTGACACGGTTAAATAATGTCCAAAACATACTCAGTAGTTTGTGTGTTTAAAATGAAATGAAAATGAAAACATTTCTCTTCTTCTTAAACGTTACTTCTTTGAACCTGCACCACT